GATCGATAAAAAGCTACAAATGATTAAAAATAATTTAGTCAACAAAACGTAATGTAATTGAGAAAAATGTTTTGCAAATTAGATTTGAGAGCCGATTAAATCTCTCGACAATTCTTGATTTTTGTCAAAATCTTATTCTCAGTTCAATATTAAGGATAATGAAATCAACTCTATATATAACGTTAGTATATGTCTATAATTCACTCTTTTATTAGTTTGTGATCATATCGTAAAACTTGAGAATTAATATAATAAGCAATGAATAGAATATTTCACTAAAATATTATTATTACACTTTAATGAAATTTAGTTTTCGGCAAAAAGTTGTGATCATTTAATAATAAAACATATTCTAAATGTTCACATAATGTTCACAATCGTTAAATATTTGCACGTATTTCAAATCAAAAATAAAACACCTTATAGAATAAAACCAAAAATTGGACAAGATAGTTCGTACAATTCCCTTCAAAATGCAAAATATAATTTATGACACTTTTTATACCTTATTCGTGATTCGGTTAAATATTTGTATTTATTTATATAATTTTGACAAAACAAGTTTGTTTGACAAACAAACCTCTAAAAGATTTTTCAATTATTAGTATTTCTTTTCATAACGAAAAAACATTTAGAGATAATTTTAGAAAAAATTCTTTTGAGACAACAAACTATTCAAATAAAAGCTATAGAAATGGCGAGAATTGTATGTTTTATGAATTTTCTCATATCTTTGTTAAGCAGGAAATGTATGTCAAGACTTATATGAAGTGAAATTATTATTCTATGAATTAAATTATATTTTTAAAAGATTGCATTTAAAATATTTTCTGTGAGAATTGCATAAATTATGGACTAATGAAATTAATTCAATGAGGCTTAATATTGTACAATGTACGAGTTACAACTCAAAGCATTACAATATATTTATGATCATGTATAGAATATATTTTATAAATATTGGGAGAAATCGACAGTTGACTGTAAGAGTTGTGGACTTCAATTATATAAAGTTTATATTATAAACAAAAAATTTATTAAATCAAACAAATGCCTAAATTTAGATTATGTGCTAAAATTTAAAATGTTTAAAGTAAAAATCGAAGTTAAATAAAAATGTTTAGATTTTAATTGTGAATACATTGTATATTTGAATTATACAGTTACAAAAATATACAATATATTAATAGCTAATAAAATATTAGCATAAAAATTGTATGAACAAATGTTTTGGGCTTTAATTGACATACAGTATTCTAATTATATTATATTAATTAATTAATTGCTAAATTAATAGCAAAGTTAATATATAATTAACTAATAATTTACTTTAAATTACAGTTATAATAATCTTAAATGATATAAAAACCTCTAAATTACTCAATAATAAAAGAAAACATTATTTCTCTGCAAATATTAACGTTAATAACGATTAGAATATTCATTAATAATCGTAAAAAAATCTCAAAATGCATTCATATTAATGCGAAAATACATCAAATATTATAAATTTTATTGAATATAATCTCAAAGCATAGCAAAACATTATGAATACAAAACACGTCAATACATAATCAGAAATCATTAAAAACATTAATTATTTATATTGTAATCATCGGTCCATACATTCAATTATATTATGACAGGAATATTAACTGATTTAATGTGATATCAATTTTTAAATGTATTATGCATTCAATACAATTTACGAGTTTTGCATTCATTTTTGACATCTAATAAGATTTGTGAGATATTTAATAATATTACATAAGATGTAAAATAAATTATTACATAAAATACTTACTGTACATGCTAAAATTATGTCAATTTAATTATAATACACACGTTTATAATGTGGAGAATATTTTTCTAAATGCCAGAAATATTAAAATAAATTGCAGTTAATTTTAATCAATTCTGTATTTTGATTAAAAGCCATAATTTGAATAATATATGAGCTTTATTTCAAAAGCATTAAAAGTGTGTTTGATTTACAGCCGAATATAAATGAGTAAATTGTTATTAAAACTATGGAAATATGTTTTCGTATTAATTATTGTTCACTAAATGGCTTTTATATACATTTTGAGAAATAAAGTATATATTTATGCAAAAATCTATTATTACTTATTATTATTGATATTATGTACATTATATTCAGTATATAAATGCACATTTTTAGTCACAATTTATATAATGTGTATGTGTTTTAACATTATTTAAAAATTGATTTTGTTTTAAACCCTTTAAAACACTTTAGGATTATTATTATGATTATTCTGTTATAAAACATTAGTTTAAATTATATTCAAATGCAAATAAAAGCAATCAATTACACAAGTCTTACATAAGACAAACAAATATGTTTTTATAGTTTACTTATTTTTATTATATTTAAATAAAGTGAACAATATAAAATTTAATATAATTAACGTTGTTTTTTAGACAGGACTTTCCTTTTCGGTCAAATATATTCTGGGAATATATTTTTTTGGGAGGAAATATATTTTATTTTCCTTAAAACAGGGAAAATAAAATAAAATGTGATCAAACAATGACCAGTCGCTGTACTATATATAAATAGTTTTTCTAACTGTATATTTATACATGTAATGTATATATCTCAATCTAGTTAAACATATTATGTCAAAATATTTTATTCTATCTATTTAATTAATACATTTGCATATAACATATTATGTAATACATAAACCATACTTTAAATTAAACTATAAATATTGTTATTTTAAAAAATCAATTTATTATATAATTGATTAGGTATTCAAAGAATAACGTGGTATTTCATAATGAAGAGTATGCATACAAATTTTGGACAATTTTCAATTTGGCTACAATTTAGTTGTTAATGATTGCCATCATTTGATCGCATCTTTCACTTTATGACAAAACACACTTACATTTAAGCCATATATACGTTAAGGCATTCATTATTAATGATTCATTAGTGAAGAAAGAAAACATATTTTAATTTTTTATATTCAAAATACAGATATGTTTCAAAGATTTTCTAATCAATCATATATTTTGACAATTTCTAAAAATACATATTTGTTAGAAAATATTACAAAATTGTTCAAATCTTGGACTATAATTACTTTATAATAGTTATAATAACAGATAATGAGTCAATTCTTCAATTCTTTGCATTTTAGTTAAATTATCACTAAACTGTATTATAATGAATTTCAAACTAATATTAATATCAATATAAAATTTGGTGTTATAGCATGTAGGCCAATTTTTAAAAATATATAAATTATAAATGATCATTAATGTATAAGCAGAGGCATTTGGCTCTAGGTTTTCGGCTCGTGAAGTAGTAGTTAAAGGTGTGCTTCACAACAAACCAGCAGAAGAAGGACACATTTACCACTACTTCATGAGCCGAAAACTTTGAGCCAAGTGTCTCTCCTTATTAATGTCAAATGTACAATATATTTTTGAATGATTAATATGATTTTAATTGTTTGCATATTTTATTTATGAATATTTAAATAGTTATTATTCATATCAAAATTTTCACTACAGATAATATTACAACAGATACTATAATATATTTTAATATTCTATAATAATTCGTGAATTTGACAAAAATTTATGCAAATTTAAGAATATTAATTGATCATTATGTTAATAAAACTTGAATAAATATAGCGCAAATCATAGTAATCATAGCAATTGTTTACCACGTTTTCTTAAATAATTTAAAGAGACCAACGCTTTATATGAGAACATATGATAATATTGTAGAAATTCTTAAATTCTTTAGATTCTGTGTTTTAATGGAAGCCATGAATGGGTGCGATAATGGGGTCTCCAGTCGTATGTAATCAACTAAATTGGTGTTCACTAAAACACATTAAACTAAACACTATATGCAAACTAAAGTGAGAAAACGTATACTTTTTCTTTCATAAAATAAAAAACAAAATAGTAATGGCTTTTAAAATATCTAAAACACTAAATAAAATTAATTTATAAAATGAGTTAATTATAATTTTGTAATATATTAATTTAGTACAAATATTAATACAAATTTAGATACAGTACAAACAAAATATAACAAAATTTTTACAAATAGAATATTTTCAGCATTTTTTTAAACAAATGTAAAATATTGTAATCAATATTTTTAAACATAATTTTTGAAATTATAAAAATTATTTGTTATTCGTTTCCTTTAATTTATAATAAAACCGGATTTGCATATCATTTGAAAACTCAAAATAATTCTTTTCTAATTCTGTATTTCGTATTCTTCACATCTATTTAACATATAAATGATTTAATAAATTGAATACAAATTTAAAAGTATACACTAGAATATTGATAGCCAACGTAGGTATGCCGCATACCTTAGTGTAGCCACATGTCCAATTAAAATATATAACTTGAATATATACATAATTAATTTATTAAATTGACAATTAACAAGCATTTTACAATATAATTTTAATGTCATTTTCAAACATTTTACTAAAATTGCATTTCATTTCTCTAACAGTAAAAGAAAAATGAGATTTTCTTTTGAAAAAAAGATAATATAATTCATTATACATTTTGTGAGCTATTGTTATGAATTCATAAAACAACGATTAGGTCTGACTATGGCTTGCGATTCAAAACTCATTTACTTTTTTTTAATGAATGTATTCATCACTTGTTTTGAGTCTTTTTTCCTGAAATTATTTCCTTTTTTGTGTTCATACATATAATTATGTTTTTATATAAGTTTCCCTCATTTCCTGTAAATCATTGAATATTATCAACAAATATATGTTTTAAAGCTTTTTATTTATACATTAATAAGAATATGTGAAGGAATTTATTGAAAATTGAGTCAAATTTACATCAAAATCCAAACAAACATTTGTTTTATATTTGAAATATTTGTGGCAAAAGTGATACAAAGAAATATTAAATTATATGTTTTTTCAAATGATAATCAAAACAAAACAAATAGATAGCATTGGAGACCATTAGAGCGCGTAATCCAATTCGTAACGAATAAAATTATTTTTGGAGTCGTTTGACGCGCGGGGATAACCGGCCACAAGTGTGTCCTGACCTCCGATGTATAGCGTGTTATATACCTTCCAATAGACATCCCTTACTTTGCGCGCCGGATGGAAGAGACCCTACAAACAGACAAACACATCATTTAGTACTTCAATTCATTAGATATAGTAGTGTTATAGTGAACAGACCTGAATGGTGTACTGCAACATCTTGATCGGACCCAAAGACACTTTTAGGCCTTCAATCGCTCCCATAAATGCCTGAACCAAATGAGGAGAGGTTTCGAAAATGTTGGGCCAAACGTAGTTCAATATATGCGTTAACGCGTCTTCGCAACCGAACCCATAAACTCCGAGTGCCATGTGTTGAATGGCGGCGCACGCCGTCTGTCTATGCACTAAATCCCTGTCCATCAGCGCGTCTTCCAGTAGAGGAGTGATGGCATAGATGTAATCCTTTCCCATTTCGCCGATGTATTCAAAGAGAAAGGCCAGTGATTTGAGAACACCGTTTTGGACGTTCAGTTCGGGCACTCGGTATTCATTCATAAGCGCCGGCAATACAGTGAAGGGCGAACACGTCTCGGCCACGATAGCGATGGCAACGGTAGTGCAGACCCGGTTCTGCCGCTCTTGAACTCGAAGATTGTTGAGAAGAGTGGCCAACACGTCGTGCGGACCGATAGCTTTGGCGATATACCCGAAAGTGTTGACTGTGGCTCTTCTGATAGCCTTTTTGTGCGCTTTTAAGAGCTCTAATAATTCAAAACAGATTCGCATCCATTCGCGGGCCGACACGTATTCGGCGCCGCGATCGGCGATCCTTCCGACCAAATCGATACAATTTTCCTGAACCTTCTCGTGTCTGTTCTTCAGAATTGGTGTCAAACGGGGCAACAGGTCTTTGATGGGAGGCGTCATCTTATGCATACCAATCACGTTCACAATCGCCTTCAATGCGCCTAATATTGAACCCAAAACCTCTGGATATTCTTCGCCCAAATACTCGTAGAGAACGACACCTAAATGTCCCATTAGTTTCTCCTCCTGACAGGTCTTCATCACAATTGCGATTCTTGAGATGAGATCCGCCGCCTGTTGTCGCACTTTCGCCGACTTATTGTTTAGACGCCACAGAATTGTACCGCAAATTTGCGGCAAATATGGCTTCACTCTCTTCGCCAATGCGTTGACAATAGTTCGCTTTGGTAAGTTGTATTGGTTCAGAAGCCAGCAGACAAGGACTTTACGCATATCTTAAGGCAGCTATTCGACAAGGAGCTCAGCACTCAGCTAGACTCGCCGCGGATTTAACCTGTATTAGAAGAGAATGGTCTCCATAACCATTTTACGGTACGCCTCGTTCTCGTCCTTCAGGTCATCCACTATTCGGTGAATTATTTCCGCCGCTTCCACTTTGTTGGCAATCTCTACAGTCGTGTCCACCAATTGTCGGTAGTTTCTGCGGTCGAGTGCCATCCGATGGTTCCAGAAGTGGCGGAAAAAGTGTGGCAAAACCTCTTCTTTGATATAAGACGGTTCGACACCGTCTGTACCGCAACACTGTTTCACCACTTTTAAGACTATTTTCTTCATCTCTTCGTCGGGCGATTGGAACTCACGGATCAGAATAAGCATCACTTCTCTGGTATAATAGTTGGCGTATTCGGCGTCCATCAGAGGTATTAAATAACCGATTGCTTTGAGAAAAGCGGCCAAACCTTTGCCTCTATGCGTGCGAATCGAAACCATTCAACATAACCAAGTCTTCGGTCGTCTGTTCCTGAAATGCGTATAGAATTCCGTCGATAAGCTGTTCCTCGAGTCGTGAGTCGATCTGAGCGGCGCCTAAATTGGACATAATCTTCTCGATGGTCTCCATAACCATTTTACGGTACGCCTCGTTCTCGTCCTTCAAGTCATCCACTATTCGGTGAATGATTTCCGCCGCTTCCACTTTGTTGGCGATCTCTACAGTCGTGTCCACCAATTGTCGGTAGTTTCTGCGGTCGAGTGCCATCCGATGGTTCCAGAAGTGGCGGAAAAAGTGTGGCAAAACCTCCTCTTTGATATACGAGGGTTCGACACCGTCTGTACCGCAACACTGTTTAACCACTTTTAAGACTATTTTCTTCATCTCTTCGTCGGGCGATTGATTGAGTGCCTAGTCTTATTCGTAGTGAAGAGACCATATTATCAACCGCATAAGCCGCAGGTAGTCTCCATAATTTATTGGCTAACGAAACTCTTTTCGCCGGTTTGGAAACGGAGATACGCACGCTTTACCTTTCCATAAGGGCTTTAGCACCGAATCAAAGGACTCGATGCCGTAAGGAGTGGCCGCTTCTGCCAACGCGGCCAAAGCCAAGGCTGTAATAGTTCTCACTTTTTGCTGTTCGTCTACTAAACCGTGTTCTATAATCTCGACTAAACTTCTGAGATGTGGAAGAATAGCACATCCCATGAGAATAGCAATTTGTTGTACTATTTTAATGCCCGTATGCCTCGCCTGCCATGACTTCTTACTCTTGCAGACGGCCTTCAAGAAGGGCAACAGTGATGGTATGCCCAGCGCTGAGGCCACGACTGCAAACGCTCTGGCGGTCGTATTTCGCACGTATTCGTCGATGTTATCAATGTCTGGACGCATAGTGGAGATCATAGTCGCCAGACCCGCAGCTTTGGCCAAATTCGATATAATCTCTCGGCCCTCGACTCGAGCGTAATAGTCCTCATCGATGAGCAACGGCTCGATTACTACTAATATTTTGTGGACATACGGACGAACCAAATCATCTAATTTATAGAGAATTCTGTCGATAACTTTCACCAATAGATGTCTTTCTTGATCTTCAAGAGTGGGAGACATGAGAAGAGGTAGTATTTGGTTAAAGAGAGGTCCGGCGCCGAACTCTCGGGCTTTGTCTGTGATTTGTCTGAGGGCTGACTTCCTCATAGGCGGCGTTCCGTTCTTTATTTTAAGCAAAAGTTTCATAATTTTGCGCTCTTTTTGTTCGTCGGGACTCAACGAGTCTTCGTCGACGTCTGTCAACAGTTTATCAAAGTATTGAATGTCTTCGGGTTTAAGTGGCGGCAAATTCTGGCCTTTGGGCTCCATATCCATCATTTTGGACGACTGCTCCTCTTTCTGCATGAAGAAACCTCCGCCGCCTCCGAGTCCACCCATGGGTGTGGGAGTGGCCGTCAGTTTGCGAGCGGGTGTTCTGATAGGCATATAACCCGCCGGTGGGGGCAGTACTTTATAACCGGGCGGAAAGAGTGAGTCGAGTTCGTCGTCAGTCATCGGTCGGTTCCCAAGCAGTTAGAGAAAGAGGGTAGACTTCCGGACGTAGACAAGGCCTCAGTATCCATAGTATACAGGCCCGCAACCTCACCGGTAACGGTACCGAAACCCCGGGTATCCTCACCGTGGCGAGCCACATATGGGAGTCATCGATGGAGTCATCATTGAAGGCGTCGCCGGTGTCATTGAACCGCCAGCGGCCGGCGTCTCATCCCATCGCGACCTCCGTTTTGACGCTCCGGGAGTGGGAGTGTCCTGAATAAGTTCGGCGCCTCTGTCCGCACGTGGGGTCTCCGCCCAACCGGAGGCGTGTCCGGGAGTCTCTCCCCTTTCGGTTTTCGGTGTTTCGTCCCATCGATTGCGCCGAACACTAGACTTAAGACCAGGAGTTTCGTGACCAGGGGTTAGGGGTGTAGTCGACGGATGCATTGGCGTCGGATCCCACACTTCGGGTGCGCTGCGGGCGTCGTCCGAGAGAACACGTCCGGGAGTCTGATCCCACATCCCGGGAGCGCCGGGTGTGGCCGCCTCTGCGTAGTCCCAACTGGACTTCTTCTTAGCGGTGGGTTCATCGGCAGTGTCGCCGGTCTGCGGCTGATCCCAACGGCGCCTTTTACTCGACTTCGGCGATACGGCTTTCAATTCGCCTGATTTTGATTTCTCGAGAAGTTTTTTACGTAATTCGGCCTAAAATACAAAACAATAGATTAATATCATTAAAACATACAACGAATCAAATGCTGAATAATACCTCTTCTTGAGTAATGGCCGCCTCTTTAGCGATGGTCTGATAAGTGCGAGCCCTGGCGTCGGGTGTTTTGCCG